CATTGGAGCTGAACTTGGAAGAATGTCTGGGCCTTTTTACACAGAGAGTGAAGAAAAAGGTTCTAGGGGGCAGGCACCGCCAAGGCCTGGGGCAGAAAGGTGGCGATGGATTTGGGGACTGGCCAGGCTTGTGCCTGGAGCCTGGGGCAGGTTGTGAAACCCAGAGGAGGTTTGTGGGAGAAAACGTGTCCAGGTCGAATTGGCATCACGTCGCTGAGGACCTCAAGCACCAGAGTGAGGAGGTTGCCCTCCATCCCAGCACTGGGAGCAGCGAGGGCCCGGGAGCCCCGCAGAGCAGTGCTTTAGAGGGCCCTGGGCTTTTGGGACCTGTTCTCTGGCCCGCCCTAAACCCTGAACAGAGAGGAGCTGGACCCGGAAGGAACAGTTATTTCATCTAAACAGGCATTTACTCAGCACGTCTCCCTGCCGAGCGCCGCAGTAGATTTAGGGGAGGACAAGACAAGAGAGGGAAAAGGGAAATAAAACGATAGAGCGTCGGCCTGCAGACTAAAGGGTCCCAGGTTCGATTCCAGACAGGGGCATGTGCCTTGGTTGCGGGCACATCCCCATTGGGGGTGTGCAAGAGGCAGCTGATTAATGTTCTAGCTCTCTGTTCCTCTCCCTTCCTCTCTGTTAAAAAAAAAAAAAAAAAATCAATAAAATATTTTTAAAAAACGAATAGCAGGTGCTGCGCCCACAGAAAGGCCGGGCTGATTGGGGAGCAGTGATGTCGGTGTTCACTGGGCTGCAAGAGAATGCCGAGTGCTGTGAGCCGCAGAGGGGGCAGATGGGGTCAGGGGAGGCTCTGTGCCATCCTAGGAAGCTTCTAGGTGTCCCACAGCTGGAGCAGAACAGTGGTCATTCCAGGCCCAGAGGATTCGTGAGGTACGGCCCCTGCCTGACTGACCCTGCCCGTGTCTTCATGGGAGGGGGACCCGGAGTGGGGGAAGCCTGCCCCTGGAGACCCACAGGCCTGGCTCCGGCCTCAGTCCAGCCCGGAGCTTTGAGAACCTGGAGGAGTTTTCCTCGGTCCTCTGGGGCCTCACCCGTTACCCATAGGGTGGCTGGGTTCTTGGAGGGTTAGAGCTGGTGGGGGTGCCTGGGACCCCCTCCTCCCTCATTTTCAGTGGCCGAACTTCAGGGTCAGTTTGTATAAAATCTAGTACAGCGGGTCCTCAGATAATGTCCTTCCCCTGAACATTGTGCCATTATAACGATGCCGAAGGAACTCCTGTTTAAATGAAAGCCTGTGGCAACACTGGTTTTGTTATATTTCGTTTCGCTTAGAGTCACAGAAACCGTCAGTGATGCTAAGTGAGGACGTTACTGTATAAGCAGGAAGATGACGGTGTTGGAAGATAACCTGGATGGAGCGGGAATAAGAGGCCTCGTGAAATGTGAGGGTCACCTGAGCTCGGTCTTATCCACCGGTTTGGCTCAGTGGATAAGACCGTCAGCCTGCGGATTGAAGGGTCCCAGGTTCCATCCCAGTCAAGGGCACATACATTGGTTGCGGGCACATCCCCTGTAGGGAGTGTTCAGGAGGCAGCTGATCGATGTTTCTAGCTCTCTACCCCTTTCTTCCTCTCTGTAAAAAATCAATAAAATATATATTTTTAAAAGTAAAGGATGAGGCCTGTCGCCACACCACAACTGCTGGAAGGACACTTCTGGCATCACAGAGGGGCCTTGTCACCTGTCCTGGAGGAGCCATTCACCGGGCTCCCGGGTCAGGTCCTGCCCACCTGCCCCCTCCCTCCTGCAGAATGCCGCCTCCCCCGAGTAATTGCCTGCAGGTGGGATTAATTAGTAGGATTAGTTAGGTCCTGTCATTCTAAACAGCTCTGCTGGGTGGCAATTTTTTTCCCTCTAAATGCACATATTCTTTTGAGGGCTGTGTCTTCCTTTATCTTTTGCAGAAAGTCACTAAATTAAAAGAATTGCCATTTTAAATTGCAGATTAAAGACAAACTTAATTAGAAGGAATGTATAGTCGTGTTTGGAGCTTCAGTTCTTAACGTGTGGGTTGTTCTTTTTTTTTTTTTTTTTTTTTTGCTCCTGAATCACTGCACTTGGAGTTTGTATATTTTTATTTTAGGTGAAATGGTTTGCCTAATTAAGCCTGTCATTCATCACCACCTCTTCTCTCTAAACTATGTGGCTATATTATTAAGCTTGCAAGCAAAAGTATAAATTAATTCAGTGGGGAATTACAGTGCTGACTGGGATGTTATTAGGTTTTATCTGGTCAGAAAACTGATTCTCTTCTCCCCCCCCCCAATTAAGTGAAACAACAGCTTATTAAATTTCAAATTTCTTCAGTCTTTTGTTGAGCACTTGCTATGTTGTCGGCATGGGCTAGGCTTGCCGGTAAGGGCAGATATGGTACAGCCCTGCCTTTGGGTCCTGGGGAGTGGGCAAGGCGGGGGAGGGGAGACTGGCAATTAGGATACCATCACTTAAGTCAGTGGTCAGCAAACTCATTAGTCAACAGAGCCAAATATCAATAGTACAACAATTGAAATTTTGTTTGAGAGCCGAAAACCGACTTCTGCGCATGGGCCACGAAGTTTCTATCACACTCTAAGTGCTTGCCCACATGTGGTATTTTGTGGAAGAGCCACACTCAAGGGGCCAAAGAGCTGCATGTGGCTCTCGAGTCGCGGTTTGCCGACCACTGGCTTAAGTGAAGGTTAGTCTGGGGTCAGGGAGTGCTTCCTGGAAGAGGTGGCCCCTGAAGGGCAGGTGGAGTCAGTCAGGTGGGAAGGTTGATGGAGCGCAGTGGAGAGGTGGGTGGTGGTGATCCGTCTGGAAGGGGGCGTGGTCAGCTCTGAGGATGGACAGTCAGCCAGGTTGTTGGTGGTTCTGAAGGGCTTGGGTTTCTTCCCCAACCCATGTTCCATGCTTCGTGCCTCCCTTCTCACTTGCTGAGCCAGGAGGTATGTAGTAGGAAGTAATCTTGGCAGAAATACTGAAGTTCTGATTTTAGCCAGAGGAGCTCCAGGTTGTCATAGGTGAAAATGCCTTAAACCATTTATATGGTCCCTTTCTCCCTTCCGCAGGTGGCAAAAGTAAGCCGAGAACCTCGCCTCTCCCCTAGACCCTCCCCGCACCATGCCCCTTAGCTCACTCCCTCCCCACACCATGCCCCTTAGCTCCACGGCCAGCCGCTCCTACAGTGGCTTCCTCGCTGCTCTCCCTGTGCTCCCCCTCCATCTCACTCTTTTTCATTTCTTTCTTTCTTTCTTTCTTTCTTTCTTTCTTTCTTTCTTTCTTTCTTTCTTTTTAAAATAAACTCTTTTAAAGAACAATTTAGGTTCACATCAAAATCGAGCAGAAAGTACAGTGAGTTCCCATGGGCCCTTTGCCCTCTATCTCTTTTCAGCACCGCAATCCTGTTATAAAAGTGCCAGGTTAAAACTCCCCATCAAAACATCAGAATGGCTCTCCTTTCCTCTCAGAATAAAGCCAACGTCTTTCCCAAGGCCCTCAGGGCTCAGCTTCTTCCCACTTCCTCCCACTCACCTCCCCTCACCCCCCTCCCCTCAATCCTCCAGGCTGTGTTGCTTCTCCAACACCCCAGGCATGTTCTCACCTCAGGGCCCTTGAACTTGCTCTTCCCTCTGCCTGGAATGTCCTTCCTTCCGGCAGGTGTCCCTCTGCATGGCTCGCCCCTCTCCTCTTCCTCAGGAGTTCATTTCGATGTCACCTTTCGAGGGGCCTTGCCTGCCCTGCTTTCGTGTCTCCACAGCACTTACTGCCAGCTGGTGGGTGAGCTGTGGGTCTGACTGACTGATTTATTGTCTGTCTCCCCACGCGGCTCTGAGCTCCACAGCAGGGATAGCTCTCTCGCTCGCTGCTGTTTCCCCAGCCCTGGCGTGTGTTGGGCCCGCGTGAGTGAGTGTTCAGAAGTGAGAGGGGTGGACGGATGGCCTGCGGGCCCCGCTGCAGTCTGAGGGCGACCACACACCTGGTCCGACACGCCTGGCAGGAGCCTCCCTTCCCGCTGTTTTCCCCGGCGGTTAGCAGAGACGAGTGTTTGGAGGGATGGAAGAGTTCCACAGGCCTGATGGGTGACCTTTTCTGTCCTGGAACAAGTTCACTCCCATCCTCGGTCCCCACGGACCTGCATCGCCACCGACAGGCTGGGATTTCCCACCGCCTCCCGGGAGTGTGAGGTTGGCTGCTGCGTCAGTGCGCCGCTCGCCTCCTCTGCTTGCTGGTGGGAGGGCAGAGTGTCGCTTGGCCAGCAGCTAGTTGCAGGCCCTGGCCCAGTTTACTCAGTGCTCTGCGGGTGCCAGGCCCTTGGGATGTGTCCCCTCATCTGGTGGTCACAGCAGCCTGGTGATGGAGGAAATGGGCCTCAGAGAGGTTGAGTGACAGCCACGGCTCCCAGCTAGCCAGGGCAGGCTTAGGAGAGGAATGCAGGTCAGTTCAGTACAGTAGCTTACGTGAGGTGACCAGTACCGTGTCCACGTTGAGCAGACATGATAATAAAAATCTGTAACATATGGATGCAAAATAACACTGATCCAGCACAGACTACATGGTAGGCACGCTTAAGGCCTCTGTGTGCACGTGTGACTGAATCCTGTCAACAACCCCATGAGGTGGGAGCTATCATCATCCCTATTTCATCCCAGGAGGAAACTGAGGCCCATAGAGAGACACGCAAGGTGGACTTGCTGGTCTCCAGGAATCCTCCCAGCAGCTCCTTTCAGCTCAGTGTTTTCGCTCCTTGTCCATTATCGCCAGTGTCATCTTCCCCAAGCCCATGGGGGTGAACGGCCTTCCCTGGGGGCTGGGCCCAGGGCAGGTTTGACGGCATAGGACCCACACAGGGGACACAGAGTGAAGAGATGCATCAGTCGGCTCTCACCCCACTGCGCGTGCGCGTGTGTGCGCACACACACACACACACACACACACACACACACACACACGCACACCCGGGACTTCCTCAGGCCGAGCTCCCGTAACTGTGCGCTCTCTCTCCACAGCCCAGTTTAACGGCAGCGAGAAGCGACAGTCGTCCCCCTCGCCTTCCCGGGACCGGCGGCGCCAGCTTCGAGCTCCCGGAGGGGGCTTCAAGCCCATCAAACACGGAAGCCCCGAGTTCTGTGGGATCCTGGGCGAAAGAGTGGATCCTGCTGTCCCGCTGGAGAAGCAAATGTAAGTTCTCAGAGGCAGAGCCCAACCTCGGCGCCCAGTTCACGTTCACTGCTCTCCCCTTTCTTTTTATCCTGTTTTAAAAACTCACAGACTGAGCCGAAACCGGTTTGGCTCAGTGGATAGAGCGTCGGCCTGCGGACTGAAAGGTCCCAGGTTCGATTCCGGTCAAGGGCATGTACATTGGTTGCGGGCACATCCCCAGTGGGGGGTGTGCAAGAGGAAGCTGATCGATGATTCTCTCTCATCGATGTTTCTAACTCTCTATCCCTCTCTCTTCCTCTCTGTACTCTGTAAAAAATCAATAAAATATATTCATAAAAAGAAAAGAAAAAACAGACTGAGAAAATGTTAGCGTTTTCAGGGGTCTTTCAGTCACACCCCTACCCTGCCTCCACATACAGGTGGTCAAGCTGAGGCTCACGGAAGGTCAAGGCCACCATCAGGTCAGTGGCAGGTGCTTTCTCCGTCCACACGGCATCACCTCCCCTACTTCTGGGGACTAGTTGGAGGGACACAACTCACCCCACCCTCTCACATCCCAGTTCCTGTCTTCATCACGCCGCAAATGAGTTTTTGAATAGCTAAACGTAGGCCAAATCCTGCCCCCTGGTTGTCAGTTAGACTTACTTTCTAGCTTGTGATGTTTTTGCCCCACACCTGCCTGGCGTTAGCGCAAGGCTTTGACATTCTTGGTGTGGGTTTTCGCAGCCTCTTTGCCTCCTTGCTTCCCCTAATCCTGCTGGTAAGGCCCGTTTCTGGTTTCTGTCCTCCTTTTGACCATGATGATCATCTCCCTTCTCTGCCAGGGTTTTAATGTGAACAGGCCCCTGATCTGCTCTGAGACCTTCAGTGGCTCCCCATCACCTGCATGAGGTCCCACCTCCCAAGCCTGCCGCTCACGTTGAATTGCCCCCAGACTGTGTCCTCCTTTTCTCAGCATTCTACATCCCTAAACTAGAGTGAGGTTCTCCGGGAAGACAATAAAGCAGGTCCTGGATCTTGTGCTGGTACCTTCAGGTATATCATCCTCTTGACAAACAAATGTGTGATAAATGGGTTTTCATCCCCATTGCACAGATGAGAAAATCAGGACTCCGAGCGGGGCGGAGCCTTTGCTAGGCTCCCAGGTTCTAGTGCAGAGACAGGATTTGAACTCCAGCCCGTGACACTCCCCTCACTTCCCTCTCCTCGTGCACACTCTTGCCCCCACCCTGAGCACACGCCTGGCACAAAGCAGGCACTCAGTCCGCCAAGAGATTAGCTGACACCAAGCTGGCTCCTTATAAGATCACAAACTATATCGGTCTCCGCCCAGGGGATTCTGGTCCCAGCACGGCCGACAGCGTATCCCGCACAGGAAATGCTGGCCCGGTGAGCAGGATGCAGGGTTTTCCGATGATGTCATGTGCTTGTGTGCCTTTTTTAAGCATGTGCGATCCTCGGGAGGCTGCAGCCTCTGAGCCTGCCCCTCGCCTGCTGTACTGAGCACATGGGTGTGAGGAGCACTGTGTTAACCATTTTTCATAGACACGCAGATTGGGTGGCAGGTTTTGCTTATGTCTGATCAAACTGTTTACTTTTTAATCAACAAACACAATATGATCCAGAGATGCCAGGAGCTGTTCAATGTGCATCCTGACCCAGGTCTGTGTGAGGTCAGCAGCCCAGCCTACCCTCTTCCCCCCCACACACCCCACCCCCGGGGCAGAGCTTTCCACAGGTTGGGGCCCTCAAAAATATTTCTGCCCTCTTTCCTTTCCCATTCCCGCCCGACGAGGCCCTTGGCCAAGTTCAGAGTCAAGGCTGGCTCTCCCTCCCACATCATCTCTTCTTCCCAGGCTTATTCTGGCCTGCGAAGGCCCTGACTCATCACCAAGTGGTGCTCAGGTAAAATCCCATCTCCAGCACAGCCCATGACCCAGACAGAGAGGGTCGCTAATCCCTCACCTGACTGGTGATGCCTCCGTGTTTAGGAGGCACAGGGGAGGGGCAGGCGGAGGCTGACACACTAGGGGGGCTGTTGAGGAGGGGCAGTCACACATCTGCCTTCCCTCCTGGGACAGTGGAAGAGTTGCTCAGCTGCTCAGGGGACACCCCTCTCCCCCACCTCCTGGAGGCAGCCCACAGCCCCTCTGTCCTGCATCATGGTTACCATCATCACATAAACTTGTTCTAGTCATGAACTTCTCTTTAAAACAAACTTCTTTTTTTTTTTTAATACATTTTATTGATTTTTTACAGAGAGGAAAGGAGAGAGAGAGAGAGAAAGAGAGAGAGAGAGAGAGCTAGAAATGTCGATGAGAGAGAAACATTGACCAGCTGCCTCTTGCATACCCCCTACCGGGGATGTGCCCGCAACCAACGTACATGCCCCTGACCGGAATCGAACCCGGGACCTTTCAGTCTGCAGACCGACGCTCTACCACTGAGCCAAACCGGTTTTGGCAAAACAAACTTCTTAAAATTAAATAAATAAAATCTTGATCCTCTCTGTTGGGAACTTAAGTTCTGTGAGGGCTGGGACTTGCTTGGGTCACCACTGTTTCCTCCCAGTGTGCAGAACGGTGCCTGGCACATAGTAAATGCTCATAAATAGCTGTCTGCTGAATGGACGGAGTCCCCACGGAGCTGCCAGCACTTTCTCTCTCCCTTTCGTCACCTCCCCTTCTCTCTCACCCACCACAGTCTGCTCCCCTTCCCTGCCAGGCACCAGGTGACAGCCTCTGTCCTCAAGGGCAGCCAGCAGAGTAGCCGGCTCCCTCCTCCGCAGACACTATTTTTCTCCTGCCTCCTCACCTCAGCCTGACCTGAAGGATGGACCGTCCGGGGCTCAGGATCTGGTGATTCACATCCCGCCCACACTTCTCCCAGAACACGGGACTCCCACACCCAGCTGCCTTCCTGGCATCTCCACTTGGCTGACGAGTGGGCATCTCAAATTTAACGTGTTCGCATCTGGGCTCCTCATCATCTCCTAGACACTCTTCCCCCAGCTTCCCCACCTCCATAAATAGCACCACATGTAACATGTGGCTGGTTACTCAAGCCACAGACCTGGAGTCATCTTCAGCCCTCTTTTTGCCTGACATCAGCATCTAATGCATCAGTACGTTCTGCCTGTTATCCACCCAAAACACAGCCAGGGTCTGTTCTGTCCTTCCTTCTCCGTGGCCACTTCCCATCGGCCACTGCGGAAGCCTCCTGATTTGTGTCCCCTCTGGCCCCTCTTCAGGGAGCCTGGTGGATTTCATAAGATCATCCAGAGCAAGTAACAATCTCAGGTTGACCTTTGTACGCCATAAGCGTCTACAGATGCAATTAAATTCAAAATATCATGGCACGTGGGGATGGTTTCTGTTTTGGGCACGTGGTAGTTAACAGGTTAAAACTCTCGTTGCCCTCCACTACGCTTAGAAGGAGCTCGGACTTCTTCCCTTGGCCCACAGGCCTCTCCATCCTCATCCAGGACCACTCCCGGCTCAGTGCCGGACCATCCTTTCTGCTCCGTGAGCATCCCAAGCTCATTCCCACCTCGGGACCTTGGCCCTTGCTGGCTCCTCTGCAGAAAGCGTGTTTTCTTTGACACTTTTCATGATTGGCTCCTGTTCACGATGGAGAGTCTCAGGTCAAATGTCATCTTCTTGGAAGCCTTCTTCACTCTAAAGTATACTCCAGCCCCCACACCCCCAGGATCCCTACATAGCACTTGTCACTATCTGGAATCCTTTCCTGGCTCTCTTTGTTGGTTCTCCTTCTCCCTGAATCAGCCCCACGAGATCAAGGATGGAGTGAGTGGTGCGTAAATACTGGATGAGCTAATGGAGAGCGGATGGGCTAGATGGCGATGGTTGGACCTTAACCCCTGTAGGGTCAGGACTTGAGGCCCAGCCCCCTACAGGACCACACGGCCCATCCTGTCACCTGGCCAGTGGCTTCTCTCCCAAACTCTGCCTGGGTCTGCTTGAGCCTCCACTGAGTTCCCTGCCTTGCTCTCCATTGGAGCAGCCGGAGCAGCTGCCCAGGAGGGAACCAGCAGCTTATCCTGTTGCCCCCCTGGGAGGCCCGACCGCCGCCATCTCCCTAGAGCCCTCTTACTCCTGGCCCCGGAGGCCACTTCCAGACCTTCCCGGCGGACACCTGCTTCAAACGGCTGGAACCTGTTTTCCTAATAAAACGGTGTTTGTCGGCTCACTGGGGGTGTGTTGCACAGGTGAAATTTTCAGATAACAACCTTCCCCAACTGTTAACGCTTGTTTCTAAAGTCAGCGCCTTCCTTGGCAGGCCTTTGCTAAGGCACACCTGAGCCTTCACGCCTCTCCAAGTGTTTGATTGGTGCAGCCCCATCTTCACGCTCCCCCACATTCCGGTGCAAGTTTGGAAGGGAAGGTGGCTCTGCATTCTGCACACTTCTCTGCTTTTTCCCTGGGCCAGTGGCAGTCTCCCCTGCGAGAGTCCAGCCCCAGGGCTGACCTTGAGTGGCCATCTCCAGGGCAGTAGGTGGCTCAGTCACATGCTCCTCATACCTGCTCTCTAGTCCTTGCTTTCCTGGTTCCTTTTGTTCATAATTCATTCCATCATCGGCACTCTGCTCCTGTTCAGAGCACCGCCTAGCGAATGGCAGGAAGTGAACGGTGAAAGGCAGCGTTTCTCTAAGACAGTGTTTCCCAAACTTTTGGTATAAACCCTTCTATAATTTTCGTAACGCTGAGTACCCCTTGTATTCATGAGAACATAGAATTAGACACAGCTAAGCACGGTGCAGTGCATATCCCCACCAAACTCCGGTGCAACGCGTACCGCCACCAAACTCTTCCCATACCCCTGGTGGTACGCGTACCACACTTTGGGAAACACTGCTCTAAGAGAATGTCTGTAGCCGAACGCTCGGGGCTGCTGGCAGGGCACTCGTGGCGTGGCCAGGACCAGGAGGCAGCATCCCGCTTACACCTGGGAATTTAAGATGCAGCCTACAGGGCAGGCAGCAGCCAGAAATAAGATCGCTGGGGAAGTTCCCCATAGCCACCTGCAAGTTCAGCCTCGTTCTGCTGATGCTCATAGCTGCCATTCCTAGACATTCATCCCATCCCGGGCTCTGCATAAATCCTGTTATGCATCATCCCACTTAATCTTCAGCCCCAAAACAGGGATGGGGGGATCCTAACTTGATAGAGAACCAACGCTCAGCTAGGTTAAACCACTTGTCCAGACTACCTAGCTGACCAGTGACAAACCATATGTGCCTCTGCAGCTGGAGCCTGCTTCCACCTCCCTGGCCAGCACCTCTGGTTCTCTTCCTGGCCCCGTCTCTCACCACCTTGCCAGATGTGTTCTAATATGCCCACTAACTGGCGTCTTCGGATCTCCACTCTTCCACTGAACTGGTGCCTTCAGCCTTCCCATTCTTGACAGTCACTCTTCCCTGTTTGTCCTGCAGTGGGGGCCTTAGGCCACCAGCCCCGGCACCCCTCCTCCTGACTCTGCCACTCAACCATGCGGTGTCCAGAAGCAGTGATGCTGGATCCACGCGTGCCCAGTCAAAGCCAGATTCACGCGGCCGGAGCAATGGGGTGGCCACCCTCCTGAGTGATGAGCAGGCGTCTCAGAATCAACATGTCCCTCCTGTCAGCACCCGCTATGGCTTTGGTGTCACTTGGACGGAGAAAGCCAGAAGCCTCACATTGCATACAAGGCCCCCAGACCCGACCCTGCCTCATCGCCTCTTGGGCCTCCTCCTGACCCCACCCCCTCCCTAGCCTCACTCCACGCTGTTTCTAAAACCCAGCAGGCACTCCCGCCTTGGCCTCTGCCTTTGCTGCCCATCCCTCTGCCAGAATGCTCTTTTCCAGCTGCTGTCCTTCCTGCTTCCTCCAGCACCTCCTTCAGGCCCATGCTGAAATGTCACTCTCTCCGGAGGCTTCCGTGGCCACTGCCTACAACAGCCATCCCCACCGAGAGCTCCAGACCCCACAGCCCTGCTCTGTCCCCTCCGTAGCCCTTGCACTAGAATGTCAGCTCCCCGAGGGAGGTGTCTGTGGGTTTGTTCACGGTCCTCTCCCCGGGATCTGGTGGGCAGCAGGCACTCAGTAAATGTCCGTGAATGGCTGGGCACGAGTGCGCAAACACATCTGCTTTATAACAAGGTGGCCCTGGCCATGACAACTGCCTTCTGAGGGGGCTGAGCCTCCTCGGGGAGGAGCAGAATGCAAGGTGTCCGCTGTGGGGTCCTGGCCTAGGGTTGTGACCCTCTCTCTCCTCCCCAGATGGTATCACGGAGCCATCAGCAGAGGAGAGGCCGAGAACCTGCTGCGACTCTGCAAGGAGTGCAGCTACCTCGTCCGGAACAGCCAGACCAGCAAGCACGACTACTCGCTGTCCCTGAAGTGAGTACAGCCCCGTCACCCCCGAGCCCTTCTCCGCAGCCTCCCGCCTGCGGCCGCCCTGAGTCTGCGGCAGAAAGACCCGCCGGCGTCCCCCCCGGGAGACTTGCCAGCGCGAGTTATTGCAAGCCTGGGTTTTTCAGTTTGATCTTATCCCCCTGGGACACAGAGGCCTCTTTGTGTTCTGCTCCTGCCTCCCCAGCAGAGGAGGGGCCTCTTCCTAGGATTTATATTGAATCACCGGGAATCGCGTTCACATCTGCGCGAGCAGAGGACTGGGTGAGGCTCTTAACCTACCTGCTCTCTCAAACCTCACCACAACCCGTTGATAAAAACCAGATTGTCCCCCTTTTGCAGGAAAGGAAACTGAGGCACAGAGAGGGGGACATGGCTGGCCTAAATTGTAGGGTCAAGACTCGAGGCCGGCTTATGTTCTAGGCTGCTGTTCGGACAAATCTGATTTGGGGCATTTTACGAAGGCTGGGAGGAGCGCTGGGAAGAATCCTGCTGGCACTTGTGGCTGCTTTGTAAACTGTCAGGTCTTTCTGACCCACGAGGCACTGCTGTCAGGTTAGGCAGCCCCAACATGAGAAAGGAGTGTTTTGGTTGAGAGTTTCATCAGTCAACCAGAGATGGGACCCAACAGATTGTCTAAAACCCATTTTACTGCTAGGAAGACAGAGGCTGAGAGAGGTGTCCCCCAAGGACACACAGAGAGCTGGTGACAGAGTTAGGGTATGAAAACCCCGGCCCTCCACACAGGACAGCACAGCACGAGGACCAGTGAAGTCCTCTCTGCTCTAGTCGCCGGTTTAGAGGCCGCATGGCGGAGAGAGCTGTTGATGCAACTCTCAGGAGGCCGGCCACGTGGACTACGATCAGTGCATCAGGCAGGGAGAGACTGGTCTGCCCTCTCTGCTCAGGGCCAACCCCACCCAGTCCGCTGGGCTCTGCCCTGAGAGGGACAGGGACACATCGCAGAGCCGTTTGGCAGGACACAGGCACGCCTGGACGTCCCTGGAGAAGGGAAGACGTGTGCAGACATGGTGGGAGCCACGAGTCTTCCGAGGACCCTCAGGGCAGAAGGGGCAGACGTGGTCGGGGTTCCCAGATGGGTGGTTATGGACAGCAGATTCCAGCTCCGTGAGAAGAAACGTTTTCTAAGAGTCAGAGCTGGTGAGGAATCAGAGCTGCCCAGCACAGACTCTGTGGGTAGGGAGCGTCTCGTCCTGGGGGTGTGCACCAGGGCTGACCACCTTACCAAGGAGGACATGGAGGGGGTTTCTAACCAGCTGGGAAGGCACTCAGGACAAATGGCGCCTCTGCACTTCATTGTCCACCCTCAGACCCGGCAGCTTAACGAAGCAGGACAGTGATCGCAGCTGAGGAAAATTCAATAAGCTAATCCGCAACGGGGCTGGGAGGCTGGGAGGCTGAGCCGGAGGTGGCCAAAGCCAGAGAGAGGGTGGTGAGTGGAGTAGCAGGGGACAGGTGCACACCACTGGCCATGCTGACAACTTCTCTCCACTCCCTGCAGCCCCTCTCCCTCCCTTGTTGTTGTGGTAACCTAGCAACCCAGGTGCCCATGAGTGAAGTTTTCAGATCTCCACGGTCCAGTCTCCAGATGAATTGTGCTCTTCCGGGTAGAAAGCCAGTAGCCTCGGAGGTGGGACCTCCTGGTCACCACCCTTCCTACCAACCCAGGCAGCCTGCCCACCCCCTGAGCTTCCTCAGCACAGCAGTCATCACACTGGCAGCTCTGAGTCCCTTCCAGAATCTCATTCCTCCTCGTATCACATTGTCTGGGTCCTGGTCAGAGAGGACTTCCCACGAGGACTGATTGAATGTACCAGAGAGGAGAGGATGGCAGGCCCCATGCCCAGCCCAGCTATTTCTCCGTGAAGGCCAGACAGTAGGACCATTCTGGAGGGATGGACAGCACCTTGATCTGTCCTCACAGCAGCAAGCTTGTAGTCCAGGGGCTAGGCTGGGTGCAGGGAGAAAGCAGGGGGCAGGCTGCCCCACTCCCTGGTCTTGTGGGCTGGGCAATCATGTCACTTGTCTGAGCCTTAGCATCCTCATCCGTGCCTAGGGTGCAGGGGGTAGCATGTTCTCACAGGCAGAAAGCATCTGTAGCCCAACCAGTGCCGTGTAAACACTATTTACATTCTCCCCACCCTGCCCTGCTTTCCCAGCTCAGCCCTGTATCTTCTTTGAAGGCCATTCTTAAGAGCCACAGAAGGGGCCCATTGTCCAGCGTCCTGGACAGGAGTCCTGTCCTGCCACTTACTGCTCAGTGTGTGACCTTGGGTGAGTTCCTTCCCTCTGGGGCTCAGCATCCACGTCTGCCCAGAGCACGACAGACTGATGGTTGCTGGGTTCACCTCTGACGTTAAGGTGTCTCTTGACTCCCCAGATCTCCTGTGGGCTCAGCCGCCCTTTGTCCTTGAAGTGTTCTGGCTGGATCCCCTGCACTTCCCCGGCCAGCATACTCTGCTTGCTGTCAAGCCCACGGATGCTGGAGGGGGAGGAGGGTCTAGTTTTGCATGTTTGTAAAGCCATTAGGTCCCAAAGGCCAGAGAAGTAGCCTCCCTCGCCTGGTCAGCTTTCCCCTGAGGAAGTCCAAAATTTGGGAGGTGGGCGAGGCCATCCCCTGGCTGGGGGTGGGCATCTGGCTAAAGGAAAGTGGGCTTGCTTCCCAGATAACCCCATCCCCGTTGACCAGTCTGTCTGCCAGCCATCAAGTGACACCTGATATTCATCAGCCAGACCATCAGTGGAACTGGGACCGACCATCCGGCTGCCTGGGGCAAGTGCCAGCTTTGCCAGGCGCCCCATGAGGTGTGAGGGCGCTCAGATTCCCGAGGCCTGACTGGCAGGGCAGGGTGAGGCATGGCATTCCATGCACAGTGTTGTCAGGAGTGTGGTGCAAATTGACGTCGGAATTCCAGCTATGTTTTCTTATAAACCTTCATTCCTGACGGGAGCTTGTTCTAGGGTGGAGAAGGACTTGGGGGAGTCTGGCCTCAGGACCGAGCCCTCCACCCTTTCCATCCTTCTCTCGGATGGTTATGAGAACCTTCTGTGCCAGGCACTGGGCTGCAGAGTGAGCGCCACGGTGAGGACAGCCCAGGCTGCAGAGCTCACGGTCTGGCATGTTCACCCCAGGCCATATTGCACCCAGAGAGGGCCTTCCACGGACAGGGATGGCAGTCCCTGTCACAGAGGAGAAGCTTCAGGGGGAGGTGTGCTCAAATCTAAAGAGAGGGTAGGTATTCCCAGGCTGGTGGGACCCCAGGTGAGGGAACAACCAGGCAAAGCCCAGGAGGTGCAGAAGAGTCTTGCAAGGACGCATGCCCCTTAGAGAAGCTTTTAGTGACGGGGCCACTGAAATGCAGGCTCCACTCTCAGGCATGGCCCTGAGCTTAACCCCACCTCCACCTGGCCCTGCCTCCCCGCACCTGACATTCCTGTGCTTTTGCTCTGGATGGCCCCATGGGTTGGCTAGGGCAAAGTCACATCTTCTCACCGTAGGGTAGAGGCAGCCGAATGACCTTGCCAAGGCTGGAGTGGAGGTAGCGGACTCCCACCCCCTCCTAAGCATTCCTTATATCGGGTCAGAGGTCATCAGGTGTTAAACCTGGAAGTAGACTGAGACCAGAGTGGACTCACGACTGACCTAAGGCTCCCCAGCTGGCAGTTGGCCGCACTAACAATTAGAGATGCCGACTGCTTCCCACTGTGGGACTAGACAGAGCCCAGTGCAGGCCCAAGCTGCCCTTCATCTGCCCTCCACCAGAACTCCTGCACCCGTAACAACCCAAGATGGCACCTGCACCGCCCACCCATCGCCGCTTAGCTCCCTCAATGGCAGACACCCCCAGCTCTGAAGCAATCTCACCAAGATCCTACCTCATGGTTTTTGAACACTGCGCTCATCACACACACCCGCCTCCCCCCAACCTCCGAAGAGCTCCCTCTTCCCCATCCAGCTTGACTGAGCTCAGGGCCTTAGGCTCAGGTACCAGCAGCCACTTTGGCCTTGGCATCAACCATTGACCGCCCCCCCCCCCCCCCCGAGTACACTCACTGCAGCCTCTGGTAGCAAAGGATTGACCCTTTTAGATATTGGCACAAAAAACATAGCACTCTAACAGCTTCCTGCCTGGAAAGGCGGGCAGTAGGGGAAAGAGATGAAAAGTCTTGAAAAACCTCATTAAAAGAGTTCTTCAGGCGTTTTGGACTATGAATGGCTTTTTGCAACTTCTAGTTCCATGAGTTTTTGCAAAGGAATCTGGAGAAGACGAGGGAAACAGAACTTCAAAGCTGGAGGGCTTGCAGCTGGGGGGCCAGGGGCAGGGTGAGTGCCAGGGCCTCCCTCCCTGTGTGTGGGCAGCCTCTGCCTGCATTGGGCCCATGCCTGGGGGACGGAGCCACACTTCTTAGGCCTCCTGGCCCGGCCTCACCTCTCTTTAGGCAGTGAGAGTCCCATCCCCAGTGCGGGAAATGACCCCTAGGAACCCTCAACCAAAGGGCCATCAGCTTTCAAGTCCCCAAAGACAGAGCACACAGCATCCTCGCAATTGTGCCCAATGCCAGCCTCAGGGGAGGCTTCTGGGGTCTGGCCTGTTTCCACGAGGGTGCGACTCGGTTTTGACCACTCGGGAGCCTTCCCTACCCCACCCCGCCCACCAAGCTCTGCCCCACTCGGTGTCGCTTGTCCCCTGGGCTCCAGCCCTACAGGAGCTCATAGCTGGAAGGGAACGTATTTCCACCTGTACCTCACATACAGATAGCCTCTTACTTACCCAGGTTTGACTTAAGGTTTTTTGATTTTACGATTCTTTGAAAGTGGCACACATTCGGTAGAAACCGTACTTCAGATGGTGAGGGTTGGTCTTTTCTCAGCCCAGTGATGTGCATACGTGGCGCTGGACAGCGGCCTGAGCCACCGCTCCTGGTCAGGCTCGCAGTCGGAGAATCTCACACCTACACTCAGTGCA